TTGTGAAGTCGCCATCCGCGAAGTTTTGCGTTATGCATATGATCAATTCCTTCACTCGGAATTTTCATATCTTCATTCTAGGTATTGCTTTGATCATCTCCAGTCTTCAACTCAATACTGACCTCGACATTTATTGGAATACCGCCAGTGCTTGCGATTTTCCAAGTGATTCCTTCGATATGTTTATCCATGACGTTTCTAGCCCTATTTACTTACAGGTGGGAAGCAAATGGATCAGTCCCGTACTTCTTTTCACTCATGGAACTCGATACGATGTGCCCTGTGCTGTACAAGATGATCCATAGAGTTCATTAGAGACCAAATGTTCCTACTAGCTGTGTGTGTGTTCGGTGGGATATTGTTTACATAGATTCCTGCCATTTTTGCTGATTCCAGATGCAATCTCTCATTCGCTTTGATCGATGGTTGCGAACAAAAGGAGAGGTTCCTAAATTTCTCAGCCACTTTAGCCACGAGGGGCGGAACGGTCAAATTATTGGTCTACTTGATCACTCCGCCGTGCAGCCAACGAAGGTAAAGCTCGCGGACACAGTCGGGCAAATGACTGGCCAATGGGTATGAAAAAGAGACCACAAAAGCATGCAATGCTTTTTAAGGACAAAAGCAACCTGAATGCGAACAAAAACTAAAGGTTTGGTGCAAACATGCCCACATGTCATCATCTTGGAAGTTATGTAGCCCCTTGAAACATAGCGATCTCCATACTGATTTCTGTGAACCTCCCATGCATGTAAATACTGTTGGTGAAATACAAGCTTCGTGTTGATCTGCCCTCGATCGATCATGTCTGTCACTATTTTCTTGGATAGATTATTGATGTCAGCTTATTGCTTCACTATTGTTTTTAAACCTTATATCCTGAAGATTCCTTTGTTTTGTTGATTTTCTTGACAAGAAGCAATCCCGATGAGATGCAAATCGATTTGACCAATGATGATGATGACGAAGAAGCAGAAGAAGTGAATCAACGTGCTTCACATCGTATTCGTCCTTCCTCCCCGGCGTGTCATACCAGACCATCCGCCTCTAGTGGCCGCAATCATGGGCGCACAGATTTGGAGCGGAATCAGACGGGAGCGCTCTTGATTAATGATGCAGATGATGAACGCCTTCGGCTCGTTCGTCCTGTCCTGGTGATTTCCCCATTACCTGCTACAATTGTGAACGCCGCAACTACCTCAGGTTCCTCGACTTTGCGTACCGGTGTCGGTTCGACAGAAATATCCAAGTCCGTTGAAAAACCTTTGACGGATGAAAGCCATACTGACAGCGCTCGAACTGCATCCAATGTGCCTGTGGCGAAATCCGGTAGTTACCGGCATCTGTTTGATGCTATCGGTAGATTGTCTCCAAATATACAGCATACAACCGGTAAAACAAATGCATCGGTTCGACGTGAGTCAGACTTACAACCGGATCGTACGTCGGAGGGACCTGGGCGAAGTGGCAAACGGAGACATACTTCAGACAAACGAGACGGTGCTGATCCTCCTTGGCGATCGATCCGACCCGTTTCATCATATCTCCAGTCGTCCGAGCGGATGGATGATTGTGTTCCTGGAGTGGATCTCTTCGACTATTCTGATGGTGAGTGTTGAACTGAAGCACACTAAACACTTAGTTTAATTATCAGTGTCAGCTTTGATTTTTTTAAATAACACATAAGTGAAAGAAGTGTACTCTGTAATCGAAGGATATACTGTACATGGGGATTTGGGGGTGGGGGTGGGGGGTTGAACAGAACATTCAGAATCGAACTGAATTGTTGACTCTGCGTTCAAAATTAAAGATGTTGTAAGTTAGTGGGAAAACAGAAAGGAGGAGAGTGTTCCGCATTTATGCTACTCCTGAGAGAGATGTGTAAAAGTTAAAAGTGCGAAACCTGGGTATAGTTGCTTGAACTGGTTGACTAGCCGCTTGTGTAAGGATCATGCGAGGAATAGCAAATGGAAGAGGGACAAAATAGACGAGTTTGGTAGATAAAAAATATAATGTTGAGAGCATAAGAATAAAGAAGAGACAGCTTGGCGGTAAGCTAATGACTGCAAGCTACATGTTAGGGACGGGATATTGATCCTGTGAATCCGATCAAGAATAAACAGAAGTGGACGAAGCTCCACTTCATACATCACTGCAGAGGAATCTGATCTCTGTTAAAATTGTGGAGATGAATGGGGCTGAGGAGGCTTCTGGTGCAGATTATAGGGCTTGATTTACGCGACAGGCAAGTAAGTGAATATGGGGTGACGATGAAGTAGTAAATAAAAATAGTCCCCATAATTAGCATAACTCTGTGACACGGGGAACATTGGTGTCAAAATTTCGTGATTTG